CGAATATTGGGCAGCAGCAGCAGCAGCAGCGGCAGCAGCAGCAGCAGCGGGAGCGAGGCGGGGAGGAGCCGGAAGACAAACACACCAACCAGGCCTAAGAGGCACGCAGAGCAGCAGCAGCAGCAGCAGGGAACTGCAGCAGAGACAAAACAACGGCAGCAGCAGCAGCGGGAGAAGCAGCAGTTCAGAAAGGAGACAAAAGCCAGCAGCAGAACGAGACAGAGATGGGCATCTCCTGTCTCTCTTTTGTCTCTTCTCCGCCCCCTGTTCTTAAGATGCTTGCAGCAGCAGCAGCAGCAACAGCAGCAGCAGCAGCACGAGACGCCGACCAGTTCCGCTTACTCGCCCTCCCAAACCCTAAACCCTAAACCCTAATCAGGTGGCTGTACACCACAGCGCTCTTTAGTTATTCTTTGTTGTTGACGTGCGCCGAGAGGGAGCAGCAGCAGCAGCAGCTAAAGACTGCAGCAGCAAAGGACTCTGCAGCAGCAACTGCAACTGCACGGAGGGACACTGCAGCGGCAAAGGAAGCTGCAGCGGCAGCAGCAAGTGCAGCAGCAGCAGCATCAGCAGCAAGAGCTGCCTCACTGCAGTTGTGTGGAGAGCTGCCTAGACACCCGAGTTTGTCTCCTTCTCCAGTGTACGTACACCGCAGCAAGAGGTGCCTGTACACCGGAAACCTGGGCTCTTTGAGGTGTCTGTACACCTGGAGGTTGTAGCTCTCTGAGGTGTACGTACACTCGAACCCTGTGGCTGTTGAGGTGTCTGTACACTTCAATCCCGTGGCTTTCTGAGGTGTCTGTACACCCCAGCCCCGTGGCAGTTTGGGGTGTCTGTACACCCCAATGCCGTGGCAGTTTGAGGTGTCTGTACACCTGAATCCCGTGGCTTTCTGAGGTGTCTGTCCAATCCCGCGCTTCGATTTTGAGGTGTCTGTACACCTGAATTCCGCGGCAGGCCGAGCTGTCTGTACACCTCAACTTGGCGCCAGCTTCCGGTGTCTGTACACCTGGATTCCTCGAGCCCGAGGTGTCTGTACACCTGAATTCGTCGAGCCCGGGGTGTCTGTACACCGGAACCCTCTGGATTTCGGGTGTCTGTACACCTGGATTCCTCGAGTTTGAGGCGTCTGTACACCTGAGTTCTCTGGATTTGGGGAGTCTGTACACCTGAGTTCCTTGATATTGAGGTGTCTGTACACCTGAGTTCTCTGGATTTGGGGTGTCTGTACACCTGAGTTCGCTGCGTTCTGTGCGGCGGCGTCCGTGGATTCGCGGTGTCTGTACAGCTGAACAGCAGCCTCTGCGGTGTCTGTACAGCCGGTGAACTCGGGCGAGAGCCAGACGTGTGGGACGTGAGGTGTCTGTACACCTGAAGTCTGTGACGTGGGGTGTCTGTACACCCAAAGTGTGCGGTGTCCACGCGAAGTGTGGGGCGTCGGGTGTCCGTACACCGGAACGTGTGGCTTGGGGTGTCTGTACACCTGAATTGTGTGGCTCGGGGTGTCTGTACACCTGAAGTCTGTGGCTCGTGGTGCCCGTACACCCGAGGCGCGGGCGCGGGGTGTCTGCACAGCTGAGGTGTGGGGCGCGGGGTGTCTGTACAGCTGAAGCCTGTGGCTTGCGGTGTCTGTACACCCGAAGTGTGGGGCGCGGGGTGTCTGTACACCTGAAGTCTGGGGCTTGCGGTGTCTGTACACCTGAGGTGTGGGGCGCGGGGTGTCTGTACACCGGAGATGCACTTCGTGGAGTGCGCCGCGCTGGCGCGGCCGAACTTTTTGCTGCAGCAGCTGGCGATTGGGGATCGAGTTTTTGTGGGGCGTTTGGAGTTGCTGGGGATCGATCGGGATCGGCAGCAGACGGAGGCGCTGCGGGCGCTGATAGAGTCCCAGCTGACGTCTTCGCCGCTGTTTGCTGCTCCCGCGCAGCCGCCGCTGCTGCTCTCCCCCGCTGCTGCTGCTGCCAGCAGCAGCAGCAGCAGCAGCAGGAAGCACCGCCAGCAAGACTTCAGGGGCTGCACTGCCAAGGGCAAGGAAACCCTCGTCAACCTCATCGCCACCCTCAACCAGTGCTTCCCAGACTACGAATTCAGGTCTGCTGCTGCTGCTGCTGCTGCACTTGCTGCTGCTGCTGCTGCACTGCGTGCTGCTGCTGCCGCTGTGCTTGGTCGTGGCAGTGTGGCTCTCCCTGCTGCTGTTGTTGCTGCTGGGGATGCTGCGGCTGTTGCCCGTGTTGTTGCGGGCGTTGTCACTTGCTGCTGCTGCTGCTGCTGCTGTTCCTCTTGCTGCTGCTGCTGCTCTGCTGCCACCGCAAGTGCACTTCTCTCTGTTCGCTTCTCATTTCTTTTCCGTTTTCTGCCGACTAAATTAAGAGATGAACTGCACTTGCGCCGCTCCAAACCCTCCCCAGAGTCTAGGGTTTAGGGTTTAGGGTTTAGGGTTTGCGCGCAGCAGCACGCTAACCCCCGCGATGTTCAGAGAAGAAGAAAGTGTGGCGGAGGCCCAGGGAGACATTAACGAAAAGCTGCGGGCCGTCGAGCAGCTGCTGCCAGGATTCATCAACGAACTCTGGACAGCCATCGAGGTGCTGCTGCTGCTGCTGCTGCTGCTGCTGCTGCTGCTGCTGCTGCTGCTGCTGCTGCTGCTGGTGCTGGTGCTGCTGGTGTTGCTGCTAGTGGTGCTGGTAGTGCTGCTGCTGCTCCAAGTGTTGCTGCTAATGCTGCTAATGCTAGTGCTGCTGCAGTTGGTGGTGGTAGTGGCGATGCAGCTGCTGCTGCTGTGTTGCTGTTGCTGCTGCGTCGGCGTTTCCGCTGCTGCTGCTGCTGCTGCGTCCTGGCAGTTGGTGGTGGTGGAAATAAAGATGCAACACTGAATAATGCCTGCGATTAATTGTGAATTTGCTCCGCCGTTTGCTGCTGCTGCTGCTGCTGCTGCTGCAGTCGGCGGTGTGTCTGAGCAGCTGTGCGGTGTACAGCCACTCGGCGGCTGGGAGCGGGGAGGCGTCTGCGTTGGGGTGTCTGTGGAGCTGTTTGCTGCCGCCTTCTGCTGCTGCTGCTGCTGCTGCTGCTGCTGACGGGGGCTTCTGTCTTTCTTCTTTTGCCTACTTCTTCGTCGAGAAGCAAAGAGACAGAGTCCTCTTCTTCGCCTGCTGCAGCAGCAGCAAGCTCAGCAGCCCCAGCTGGCTGGGGGCCCTCGACAGCTGCCAACTCCACGACCAAGACGACTCCGAAGAAGTCCACCTAGGCAAGGCTTCCTGCTGCTGCTGCTGCTGCTGCTGCTGCTGCTGCTGCTGTGGTGGTGCTGCTGCTGCTGTTGTGGTGGTGGTGGTGCTGCTGCTGCTACTGTGGTGGTGCTGGTGCTACTGTGGTGGTGGTGCTGCTGCTGCTGTGGTGGTGGTGCTGCTGCTGTTCGTGGTGGTAGTGGTGCTGCTGCTTTTGTTGCTGCTGTTAGTGATGTCGGTATTGCTGATGCTGCAGTTGTCTCTTCTGCTGCTGCTGCTGCTGCAAAAAGTGCTGTTGCTGCTTCTGCACCTCTTGCTGTGCGCGTGGCGCGGCAAGCTAGTCCGCTGCTGCTGCAGCTGCACATCTGCTGCTGCTGCTGCACATCTGCTGCTACTGCTTCTGCTGCTGCAGGTGAAGTTTATAGAAGCGAGGGTTTGTTTCAAGGCGATGCAGAAGAAGCGGATAGCCTGTCGGACTTGGAACTGCCTTCCTCAGCGTTTGCTTACGCGTAAACCCTAATTTAGGGTTTAGGGTTTGCGCAGTTTGTTCCAGACAGATAGATGGCCAGGGCTGTCTTGTGGCCCACATGGCGATAATCTCGAACCCATTTTTAGGGTTTACGGCAGCGAGGGTTTAGGGTTTGGCGCTGCGCGGCGGCGCCCGCCCGACTCAAAACCCTGAACCCTAAACCCTAGCTGACGAAACATTCTTCCTTCGACTTTACGAGCCCAGCCCAACAAGGGTTTAGGGTTTAGGATTTGGCAGCAGCCACAACCAGCTAGCTGTGAAGCTCTGCGGCTTAGGGTCTGGGATTCAGGGTTTAGGGTTTAGGGTTTAGCTGAGTCAAACGTGCAAAAGCGCAGAAAGAAGTACAGAAGCAAACAGAATTAATGACGGACAAATAAAAAACAAAAAGAAGTAAAAATAAAATAAAATAAACGACGAGACAAACGCATTTCCCGAAGTGGAAGAGGGTTTAGGGTTTAGGGTTTAGCGGGAGTGGCCTAGGGGCTGAGGGCGGAGACTCTTATTAAAAAGAAAAAAAAGAAAAAAAGGGAAAACAAAAAGAATTAAAAAGAAATTAAACAACAAAAAGACAGAAGGCAGAAGGATGTTGCTTTTCTTGTCTTCTTTTCAAAAGAAGGAAGAGGAAAATCGAGGAAGTCAAAAGGAGAAATTAGGATAGTAAAAAAAGGAAAATTAAAAAAGATTAGAAATGCATTTGTTGCTTCTTTTTGCCTCATCAGACGTCCTTACTTATTTGCTTTTTTAAATTTGCTTCTTAAAACTCTAAAGGTATGTTTTTAAAACATTCTCTGTTTTTTTTCCTGTTTTGAACTTCTTTTCACTTCTTCTTTTGTTTCTTTATTTCTTTTTTTGGTTTATCTTAATTTCTTTTTTAACTTCGTTATATTTCTCTGCTTGTGTCTCTTTTTTTCTTTTGTCTTCTTTGTTTTCTTTTTTCGAAGTCTCTTCAAAGTCTGTTTTATCTTCTTTCGTTTCCTTTTTCATTTTTTTTCATCTTTTTTTAATCTTCTCTTTTGCCTCCTTTTATATTCTTTTTTATTTCTTTTCTACTCTCCTTTTTATTTCCCTTTTAATCTCCTTTTTATTTCCTTTTTAATCTCCCTTTTCCCCGTTAATCTCCCTTTTCCGTTAATCTCTTTTTTATTGCCTTTTAAATCTCCTTTTTGTTTGCTTTTTAACCGCCACTTTGTTTCTTTTTAAATCTTTTTTTATTTTGTTTTTAAATCTTTTTTTATTTCCTTTTTAAGCTTTTGCCGGGTGTATGTACACCTGGATTTCCTTCTTCTTCCTTTTCTTCGAAAGAAGTTCATTTGAAGACTTTTTTGAACTTCCGGAATTTTGCGGAAAATAAAAAAATTAATTTTTAAATTCAATTTGTTTCAGATTTGTCTAATAAGAATATTCTTCGCCCATTTATTACAATATCTTTGTTTGAAAAGTATATATGTATATATGTTTATATATATATGTACATACATGTATTCACCCCAGTATATATATATATTACACATGTATGTATATATACAGTATATATATATTATATATATATATATTATATATATATATATATATATATGTACATATATACATATATTCGTACATTAACATTAAATGCAGATAATAGTATGTACATGTCTATCTGCATTTCTTTTCAACGTAATACAAAATACATATATTTGGAGTTTGACATATATAAATGTAAATGTTTATTTCCATTTAAATTGTCTTACTTCAAGTAAATGTGACAAAGATGCATTTAAATGCAGAAAGATCAACAAAAAGTAAAAAGGATCTCCAGTGCAGTTCTAAAGACGAGCTGAGGTGTACGTACACCTCCCGAGATATATGCGCACCTCCTCAGGCGTATCTGCACCTCCTCAGGTGTACAGACACTTCCTCGAGTGTATTTGGACCTTATGGGGAGCAGCAGCTGCATTTCTTGAGGTGTATATGCACCTCCTGAGGTGTACATGCACCTCCTAAGGTGTACATGCACTTTCCGAGGTGTACATGCACCTCCTGAGGTGTATGTGCACCTCCTGAGGTGTATATTCACCTCCTCGGAGGTGTATATGCACCTCCTGAGGTGTATACGCACCTCCTCAGAGGTGTATATGCACCTGCTGAGGGGTATCTACAGCTCCTAAAATGTAAATGGACCTCCTCTGAGGTGTATAGGCACCTCCTCTGCGGTGGATCGGCCCCTCTTCAGGTGTACTTACACCTCATCTCAGGTGTAACTGCACCTTTTCAGGTGTATGCGCACCTCTGAGGTGTATGTGCACCTCCTGAAGTGTATATGCACCTCATTTGAGGTGTATGTGCACCTCCTGAGGTGTATATGCACCTCCAGAGGTGTATTTGCAATTTCTGAGGTGTATATGCACCTCTTCTGAGGTGTACTTGCACCTCTTGAGGTGTACTTGCATCTCCTGAGGTGTATCAGCATCTCTTGAGGTGTATATGCACCTGAGGCATAGGCATGTGCGCCTCCTGAGGTGTATGTACTCCCCAAATACGGAGTTGCGCTGGGGTGTACGTACACCTCAGCGCACTAGAGAAGCTCGAGTTGTAGTACATGTTTATTAGGTGTAATTTAAAACGGAGACTGAGTAATGGCATAAAATCCAACGAGAATTAAAATAATTCATTATGCATTATTTGCATGCATTCATGCATGCGTGCTGCTATATGTTTGTAGAAAATACCTTTCAAGAAAAGGTCTTTACTGCTTTTTTGATATATTCCGTGCTAACGAAGTAAACTCGTGGAAACCCTAAACCCTAAACCCTAAACCCTAAACCCTAAACCCTCTTAATCCTCGCTAGCAGCTACCCTATCTCCCTTTACGCGCGACAGCAGCAGCAGCAGCAGCAGCAGACCAGCAGCAGTGCAGCAAAAGAAAGATCCGTTCGTCTTCAAACCCCAACTCTCCCCCCCAAACCCCAAACCCTAAACCCTAAACCCTAAACCCTAGCTGGCGCCTCCCAGGGTGTAACCCCTTCCCGTAAAAGGCCGAGTCCCAGGGGCCCCCCTTTGCCTCATTCCGAAACCCCAGGGGCCCCCAGACTCTCCCCCAGCTGCTGCAGCATCTTGGGGGGCCCCCCCGGGGGGCCCCCTTCGGGGGGCCCCCCCGGGGGGCCCCTCGGGGGGCCCCCCGGGGGGCCCCCCATTCTCCAGCCAAGAGGTAATAGTGCCAAGGAACTTTGGGGGTTCAGATAAGAGGTCAGGGCCTCCTGAAGAAAAATAAATAAATAAATAAATAGATAAAAAAGAATTAAAATAAATAAATAAAAAAAATAGAAATAAAATAAAATAGAATTCAAATATAATTATGTTCAATAGTTCGCCGCTGAAGTGGAAGCAAACCCTAGAGTGGTGTAAACCCTCAAAAAGCCCTAAACCCTAAACCCTTAAAGAGGGACTAAACCCCTTAATGGAATTTAACCCTTAAACAGAATTAAACCCTTAAAAAGGATCTAAACCCTTAAAGTTGAACTAAAAACCTTGAAGTGGAATTAAACGAGGGTCTAAACCCTCGACGTGGAATTAAACCCTAAAGGTGAGATTAAACCCTAAAAGGGTGCTTAAAAGTAAACCCTCAAATGCAGCCATAAACCCTAGCAGCAGATCTAAACCCTCAAAATGGAGTTCTAAACCCTAGGTGCAGGACTAAACCCTCAAAATGGAGCTCCAAACCCTAAAAGCGTGTTTAAACCGTAGGAGCGGATCTAACCCCTCGAAAACGAGCTCCAAACCCTAAAAGCGTGTTTAAACCCTCGAAGTGGAGCTCCAAACCCTAGAAGCGAGTCTGAACCCTCAAAATGGAGCTCCAAACTCTGAAAGCGGGTTTAAACTTTCTGAGCGGGTCTAAACCCTCGAAATGGAGCTCGAAGCCCTAAAAGCGTGTTTGAACCCTCAAAATGGAGCTCTCAAACCTAAAAGCTCATCTAAACCCTCAAAATGAAGACCTAAACCATAAAAGCAGGTCCAAACCCTCGAAATGGAGCTCTAAACCCTAATAGTGTGTTTAAACCCTCAAAATGGAGTTCTAAACCCTAAAATCACGTAAAAACCCTCAATATGGAGATCTAAATCCTAGGAGCGGGTCCAAACCCTCGAAGTAGATAACTAAACCCTAAAAGCGTGTTTAACCCCTCGAAAAGGAGCTCTAAACCCTAAAAGAGGGCTTAAACCCTCAAAATAGCGCGGCAAGCCCTGGGAGCGGGCGCAACCCCTGGGAGTGCCCCTAAACCCTAAACCCCAAACCCTAAACCCTAAACCCTCACCGTTTGCAGGGAGAACTTCTCTGAAGAAGTAGTAGGCGTGGCCTGCTGCCAAGCCGAAAAGGTCCAGCCACAAGTCGCGACCCATCAGCAGGTGCAGCAGCAGCAGCAAATAAGGCAGCTGGTAGCCAGAGACAGTTAAGAAAGAAACAGAGACAGGAGACAAAGCTTCGCGCCGGGACCAGTAGTACAGACACGCAAACAGCAGCCCTTCCCCGTGAAAGTACAGCCCTGCAGCAGCAGCAGCAGCAGCAGCAGCAGCAGCAGCAGCAGCGGGGAAGGCGGGGGTGGGGGGCGCGGCTGTGAGCAGCAGCTGCTGCTGCGAGCAGCTCGACAACGGACTGGAGCAGCAACGAAGCAGCAGCAGCAGCAGCAGCAACGAAGCAGCAGCAGCAGCAGCAGCAGCAAAGCAGCAGCAGCGAAGCGGGAAGGGCGCGTTTGGGCTTTTAGGGGAGTAATTAAAACAAATTAAAACCAAATATTGAAACACCAAATAAATAAATAAATATAATAAAAATAAATAAATAAAATAAATAAATAAATAAATGAGAATGGGGGGGATGGAGAAGAAGCAAAAGGCGGCGAAGGAATGAGCAACGGCGGAGCAGCAGCAGCAGCAGCAGCACGACTGAGTGTAGCAAAGCAGCAGCAAATGAGCAGCATGACAGCAGCAAAAGAGAAGCAAAGGAGCAGCAGAAGTACAGCAAAGGAACAGCAAATGAGCAGCAAACCAGCAGCAGCACAGCAGCAAATGAGCAGCAAAAGTGCAACAAAGAAGCAGCAGAAGCAAATGAGCAGCAGAGGAGCAGCAAAAGAGAAGAGCAGCAAATGAGCAGCAGAGGAGCAGCAAATGAGCAGCAAAAAGCAGCAAATAAACAGTAGCAAATGAGCAGCAAAAAAGCAGCAAATGAACAGCAGCAAATGAGCAGCAGAAGGGCAGAAAGCAGCAAAAGCGCAGCAAATGAGGAGCAGAAGAGCAGCAAAAGAGCAGAAACAGGAGAGCAGCAAACGAACAGCAGCAAGTCAGCAGCAGCAGAACATCAAAGCAGCAGAGCAGCAAACGAGCAGCAGCAAATCAGCAGCAACAGAGCATCAAATCAGCAGCAGACCAGCATCAGGAGAGCCGCAAACGAGCAGCAGCAAATAAGCAGCAGCAGGGCACCAAATCCGCATCAAATGCGCAGCAGCAGCAGCAAACGCGCAACAGCAGCAGAAGCTGTGCGGCAGCATCAGCAAACGCGCAGCAGCAGCAGCAAACGCTCAGCAGCAGCAGCAAACGCGCAACTGCTGCTGCTGCACCGCAACTGCTGCTGCTGCACCGCAACTGCCGCTG